GAAGAAGAATTGAAGCATGCCGTTGCATTTGTGCGGCCTGTCAGTGTGGCGTTTCAGGTCATCAATGGTTTCCGCTTTTACAAGTCGGGAGTTTACACCAGTGACACATGCGGCACCGGCCCCATGGTGAGTTTTAACTTTTGATTTAGTCTTAATCTATTTGTATTTCCAAAATTAAGCAAAATGTTATCCTAATCTCGTGTATGTTTGTAGGATGTGAACCATGCAGTTCTTGCAGTTGGGTACGGAGTGGAAGGCGGCGTCCCGTACTGGCTCATCAAGAACTCTTGGGGAGAAAGCTGGGGCGACAATGGCTACTTCAAGATGGAGTATGGGAAGAACATGTGTGGTAAGTTTTTCGGATTGCTAAACTAATAAATGTGAGATATGTTTTTGGCTGGAAAGTGAGTTGTAGCTTCTTATTGATTTCAATGATCTGGATTGCAGGTGTTGCAACATGTGCATCGTACCCGGTTGTCGCGTAAGTCTGTCGAAAGAAACGGTGGGCTTGGTTGTGGATATGTAATACGAAATTCATCGTTGTTTCGGACTGGGATATGTTGTGTTGTACTAGGGTTTCCAGCTTGAAGGTGAAGGAACGGGCCGTCGTTTAGTGGTGACTCTGTTGTTTCTGCCTTGATGCACAAATAAGATACGAAGACTATTATTTATGGCCTATGTAATATAAGCAACGAAAGGTCCTTTTGTTCAAATTAAAGTTGCACGTTTACTTGGAGTAGAGGAAGTCATAAATCGAGATGCGAAAAGAAAAAAATGGATATGAGATCGACGAGCCTTTATTTGTTGATCATGTCCTTTGACTTTTCAGGTATTAGATTACATAATCTAACGTTAAAAAACTCACAATAACTATTTCATTTCATGCGCTACAAGGGAAGTTAGATATTGGGATAATTCCAACACTCATTTCATGAGAATAAACATGGCAACAAGGTCAAATTTTGAAGGGGCGAAAAACTTGATTATATTTATTGAGTGCTGCTAAACCCACCTAATTGTTCTTATACTCACTTTTTTCTGAAATGTTAATGACATGTGTATGCTTTCATAAAAAGACTTTGAGCCGAACTTTTATTTAAGTACTGAAACATTGAAAAAACTAAAAATATTTAAAAATATTAAATGGAAAAAAACCCTTCCCTCTTCCCAAGCAATCTCTCGCTTCTCAAGCAATCTCTCTCGCCATGATCGTCGGCTTTCTCGTACTCTAAGCCTTCCTCAACACCTTCCTCACTTTTGCCGCAACCTTCAAGCTCGCAACAACTTCCAATTCGTTCTCTTCTGATGTGTGTTTGGTACGAGCATTATTGTTGGCTCGCTGCGGCCGGCCGACCGGACAACGACGTTTCGAAGCTAAGTAGGCCGACCGGACAACGGCGTTTCGAAGCTAAGTAGGGTTAGAAATTTCTGCAAAGGCTCTTCGGTTTTAGCTTTTAGATTTCGTCGGAAACTAATTGGGTTTTCAAGAATTTGAGAGTTGCATTGAGTTGGGGTTCTTTGAAACCATCACCGGAATTTCGAAAGTCGTTGCGCACAAGACATGCGCGTGCCGAGATGTCAAAATCTCCATCTTCAATTTGAACGAGGCAAGCGATTGGGACTAAAATTGAAGTAAACAAACTAAATGACTAAAGTGGAAAATTGTTCCAACTACGGGGACCAAAAGTGTAATTTGGCCAACTAACTGTATATGTTTCAGTAAAAGTATTATCATCAACGAAATGGAATGGAATTCATACACAGCGATTTCTCTGTAACGCAGTAAACCAAAGATTGTGGCAATGATTTTTATAACTTTGACGAATCATGGTAAGCCAGCAACGTATAAAGATTACGAGCAAATCGCTTATGAAGTGACTAACATGAACAAGTATGCACAAAATCTATTTGATTCGAAGCGATTTGCTGAGTTTATGAAGTTCTGCAATTGCTCCCTCCCAACTCCCTTTCCCTTGCCATGTTACTAGATGCATAGTGGCTGAAACGCCGGAACATGAACAAGCATAACCATGTCGAGTGCAGGGGCAACCTATTGAGGAATTATATCATTGATCAAAATTTTTATGGCAAGGTAAATATACAGTCTCGGCTCTCAACTCAAAATGAACACGTGCAATGTACTTACTGGTTTTCGACCCATTTGTGTCACAAACTGAGCATGCTCCATTTGGTGCCTGATCCACTATTGCGTGTGGAAGGACCTCCTCCAACCACTGGAAGCAGTACCCCAACTCCCGTTTTGTGGTAGAGCTTCAATCAAACAGCCACTGGAATTTGTGCGTTTGCTTTCATATGATCAGTTCTTCCTGAAGGTGACATGCCCGAATTGAGGTCCTTGTATGCAATTTGCTTAATGTGATGGGCTTCATTAGGCATCCCAGCCTTCATGAGGCAAGATGTCAAAGCATTTACGGTGATGTTGTCTGGGGCACAACCAATTGCCAACATCTTTTTAAAGTTGCTAATTGCCTCAGACATTCTACCTTTCATACAATTCCCGAGTATGAGAATGGTAAACGTCACTTTATCTGGGCTGCATCTCTTCTCTTCCATCTCGGCCACAATGGCGTTTGCCTCATCAACATTGCCAGCCTTACAGAATCCATCTATCACAGGGTTGTAGATAAAAGGTTTCAGAACCACATTACTCCACTTTAATTGCCTCAGAAAATCACGTGCTTCATGTAGTCTACTCTCCTTGCACAAAGCGTTAATAAGGACAGAGAAAGTATATGCACTTGGAGACACATCTTTCCCATTCATCTCCTGCCAAAGCTTTAATCCCTGACTCAGTTGCCCAGCTCGACAATGGCCATCAATTAGGGAAGTGAAGGTAAAAACATCCGAACGATAACCATGAAAGAGCATTTTCTGATGCATGGCAAGTGCAGAACCCATGTTGCCAGTCTTACCAAATCCATCAATCATTGCATTGAAAGTAACAGAAGTTGGTCTAACTCCAGCATTAATCATCTCATCAAAAAGAACGGAGGCCTCCTCCATCTTACCCAACTTGCAATATCCTGATATGACTGACGTGAAAGTTATAACATCAGGTGAAAGTTCGATTCTTGATTGAACCTCTTTGAGTAATTGACATCCCCTATCTACCTCGTTAGTCCTACAAAGTCCAGTAATTAGTGTATTATACGTAACTATATCGGGGTAGCAACCAAAACTCCCCATATCACTGAACAACTCAAAAGCCTTACCAATTTCCCCAACTCTGCATAGACCTCGAATTAGAATATTGAAAGTCCAGCTATCCGGGCAACAATGCGACCCCATATGCTTTCTAAACAAGCAAACAGCCTCATCCACTTTATTCTGTTTAACCAACACATTGAACAAGTTATTGTATACGAAAGGCGTCAATCTAATCTCATCACAATGAACCTCACCAAGAAACTTCTCAGCATTATCCAACTTGCCCATCTGAGCATACGACGACACCAAGAGTTCCACAGCCGAATCATCGGGCGTATGCCCATCACTCCTCATGTAATCAAACACCAATTTAGCAGAATCTTGAAGCCCCATTTGACACAGAGACCTCAAAAGAAAATTGTAAGTCCATACACTATGATTAACACTCAAACTAACCCTACTGAGCTCAAAGAATTTCAACCCCAATATCGGATTGTTCAACCTTTTAATAACCTCGAAAGCAGTCGAAGGCGAAAGGTTCTTACTAAGATAAACCAAATCCAATGAATGCGAGCGAAGAAACAGAGTGCAAACAACTTTCACAAACCAAGCCTCTGGGTTTGACGTTACCTCAAAGTCGTGAAGCGGGCGCGGCCGAGCTCCACCGTGGGCGAGGTTGTGAAAATGGGAAACGGCGATCTTGGAGGCTCGAACCCAGAAGGTCGGACGGGCTTTGAAGAACAGGACGGTCATCTGCACTGCCGCGCCATCCCTAGGCTCAGCACTGCTCTCATAGATGTTTTCAATGAAAATCCTGTTCTGGGTTCGGGTTGATTGACCGGATTTTCTCGCGGGTCGCCCGGAAGTCGTATGGGGTTTGGGATTCGGATCCTGGGTTCTCATGGATATGGAGAAAGACCCAGAAATGTCAGCTCACCAAACCGGAGCTTCATCGGGGTTTTAGGGCGTTTCGCGGTGGGATTAATCGGAGAGATACGAAAACGAAGAAATGGAGGAAAACCCAGCAACCAGAAATGGAGGAAGAAGATGAAAGCCTGGAAATTGGTTCATTTCTTTCGGAAGTTGTGAGGTCACTGCCTTAGGGTTGATCAGCGACGCAGTGTTGGCTTTGAGTTGGAGATTATGTCACCCGCCCGTCAACATAAGATTGCCCCATCTGAATACTTGGGCTTTTGTGGGCCCATTACAAAGCCCATTTTTTTATGTTTAAAGAAATAATATTAATTAGCAGGAAAATTGCACAAATCACTCATAAACTTTTTCATTATTGTTCCTTCACAACCAAGGTAGTTGACCAAACAAATATCCACCTGGTTTAAAATCCATTAGCTGTATATGACAAATTTGCCCAATTTCGATCCACAGTTCAATCAAATCTAAACACATGACTGCCTTGAAAATTAGAGTTATTTTTTTTACTTGCACGAGAATCCATTTTCGAGGATGTTCACATCTATTTGCAAGTACCTCTCGCTAAAATGTTTAAGATGTTATTTTTTTTTCTGAATTATTTTTCTTAACTTTCTACAGAAATGGGCGGAACGACCTCTTGATCTATTCATTGCAGTTCAAGAATAAAAACATCGTCTAGGCGTTCCCTGTTGCTCCAATCTCCCATACGCCTAGGACGTTTCAAATTCAATATACATTAAAATGTATACATTTAGAAAAGAGTCATCGTGCATATCACATGCTTACATTTAACGAAATTGTGGATGAAAAACTAGACGGAATTTCATATGGTAAAAAAGAAATCGAATTTTGGGTGGTTAAAGTGTAAATTTTGTCTGTAAGGATAAATACAAAAAAGGAGAAAACTTCCAGAAAAAATATTGAGGAGCAAGCCCTGAGGGAGTCTGAGAGTGAACTCCTCTGAAACTTGAAAGCAGAGATCCCAATTCGCAAATACGCAGAACCCAAAATCCGTGTCTAAAAATGTCAACAGAGAGAGAAAGGCACGCTTCGCTGCCGTCAACATCGCCGGAGGACAACGCACTGTAAGTCTTCCTCCTCAATCTCCCTCTAATTCCCACACACTATTTGCCAATGCCATCGTTTTCCGCCGCCCGATTCCAAAAACCCCGCCGTTGATTGCGTCTCCACCTTTCAGGTTTCTGGATATCATGCACGAGGCTCCGCTGTTCGGCCACCGCAAGTCGAGAAGCCTCTTCGGAAGCGTTTTCTACTTGTTCATACTCGCCGGCTACGCTTCCGTGGCCGTTGCGGCTCCGTGGATATTCCAGGCCATAGAAGATTTGATTCCCCAATTGCTCTGCAGCTGCAACGTGCTTCTTCTGATAGTCACAGGTATTTGTGATTCTTTGATCTGGGCATTCTTCAAATTCAGAAAATTTTCCTGTTTTCGGATCAAAATTTAATCTTTAACTTTTTTCAGGCATTTTTCAGCAGTATCTGGTGTACCAGGTTCAGAAAATTCGATTGCAGGTAACCTTTTAGTTTACTTGGATCTCGTTTATCTAAGATGGGTGGAACCCACATTATGCACAGATGCAAATTTTCCAGTAGCTAATAAATCCTTTGAACTATAATTTTTGTTATGTTGGTGCAAAATTGCCACCAACACCACAACATTTCAGAATTGCATAGGTAGAGAGGGAGTGATTGAATGCTGAACTTAATAAAACGATACGGCTATGAAATCCAGATCTTGTATACTCTTGTCTTTTCGTTCTTGATTCGGTGAAATCATGTTGTTTCATAAGTGGCAACTTACGTGATTTTTGAACAATGAGATGCAAATTGTTTTGTAGGGTTATTATAGTTTCAGCCAGAAGTTGAAGCATATTGTTCGCCTACCTTTTGCAGCTACTTCATATGGTATGTGGATTTGTATTTGAGTTGTCTGTTTTTCTTCTTTTCGTTTGAAATATGGTGGCTTCCATTTTTTATCGTTGCAAAGACCACGCTTCTTTCCTATGAGTCTGCCGTTACAATTTCCCTCGAAAGTACTGTTATCATCATCATTATTATTATTATAATTCAGTTTCTGGTATCTTGATTAAATGTTAGGAACTGCTGCATTGTTACTTGTCATGGTCTGGAAACCTCACATCAGTTTCCTTACTCTCCCAGCAATATTGAGGTATAAGAATTACCACATTATGATGCCGATCATAATCAATTCCTCATTCAGGATCTGTAGCTGTTATCTCTTTTATAGTTTCTTTTCCCTTTTCCGCATACATAATCTGGACAACATTATTAAGTGACCAAAATATGGGCTAGCTCAACATGTTGTGTATAATTTTGGTTGGATAAGATTAATACGAAAACTAGTTTATGAATTGGCTTGTGACAGATCTTTTTTACTCATAAAATCTGCAGGAGTATTATGGTAATTGAAGCAATATGTGCCGCATCCTTTATGAGTGTCTATATTGGTGAGCTTAATCCTAAATCTTTTTCATATCTAGCACAAAATAGAGCTCTAACAGGCACACCTGCGTAAACATGAAATCTTAAAATTGTAGTAGTCTCGCATCTTTATTGATAATCTTGGTGTTTTCAGGTTATGTTCACCAGTATAACTCATTAAACTCCCAGCCTGATGTCTTAAAGTCATTATATTCTCCTCTTCAACCCTCGAGTTCTTTAGAAGGTTTGAGGTAATCATACAATTTTTTTTTTATGGTGATCTTGCTTCGTATTTTTATATACAGAAATGGAAGAGAGATCAATCACCAGAATATGTGTCAAGAACTTTAACAGTTTCTAACCTAAGATATGTCTCTTAAACGGCTATATTTCATCCATCCAAATGGAAGAACACTCATTATGTGTTGTGACAGGTATCATGATGCTGGTCGACTTTCTGATCAGCAAATGGCTCTGTTGCAATATCAGCGTGAAAACCTTCATTTTTTGAGTGAAGAGGTATTTCACCTTGACATTTGTGTGTACTATTGTACTTAATATATTACATGCCGCTCCTTGGGGTTTTCGACTAATGATTTTGGTACTGAAGTGCAGCATGGATAGTTAGGTGGTCCATGCTGCATATTAAATTTCTTCAAATCAACAATCTTATTTTATTCTATACAAGTGTTTATCACAGATCCTTCGGTTACAAGAATGCTTAAGTAAATACGAAGGGACTAATGATGGGAGCACACCTCAGGTAATTAGTTACTATTAGTTTCGTATTCTATAGAATATACAAAACTCTTTAAGTGATTCAAACGTGGGCATAAACTGCCAAAGTAATTTGAGCACTGAACTTGTTTCATTCTTTGTGGAATATGGAAATGGTCAGAACAATGCTTACCGATGTCTGTCTTTGCAGGTTGACCTTGCCCATCTGTTGGCAGCTCGTGATCAGGAATTACGGACGCTTTCCGCTGAGGTAATGCCTGGTTTGCTCTTGATTCTTTATGAAAACATGTTAGTGTTATGCAATTACCTCATTAATGTTGCTGATATCTTCTGAACGGACCCTTTCAATGTTTCATTTGCTGCCCTCTTCTACATCGCATAATTGACATTGGGAGGTGACTGAGAGATGTATTTACATTGCAGATGAATCAGTTGCAGTCTGAGCTCAGGCTGGCTCGGTCTTTGATAGCTGAGAGGGATTCCGAAATCCAGCAAGTCCGGACCACCAACAATCAGGTTTCCTACTGTATTGTTGTCACTATGATTTTTTTTTTTTTTTTTTTTTTTTTTTACTTTTTCTCGCCGACCCCACTTAGTAGGAAAAGGCTTTGTTGTTGTTTACTTTTTCTCGTTTCCTAACCACCGTAATTGTAATACTCGAACAGTACGTAGAGGAAAACGAAAGATTGAGAGCCATTTTAGGAGAATGGAGTACCCGAGCAGCAAAGGTATTATCGTCCTACCTTGACAATGTAGTTGGGGCATCCGTATTCTTCCCTGTGAGAATTTCTGCTGACAGATTTTGTAATTTATGAAATTAAAGCTTGAACGAGCACTGGAGGCGGAGCGGATCTCCAATCTTGAACTACAAAAGAAGATTCCGACGCTCAGAAGTCAATCACAATCGTCAGCTGAACCAAGCAAGTAGCTTTTGAGCCTCTGCTTCTTCACTGTTTATAGACAATGTCCATAGTTGTAATTCTCTTTGCTTTCGTTAACCCTAGTTTGGAAGAGGAAATCTAAGAGGAGAAATAAACATGAAGCATCGCACATGTACAGAACATTTGTGGAGAAAGAAGTCTATCGACACCGATTTCACGCAAAATTGAACGATATCTGAGACGGGCACGCAGAATTACTTTCGAGTATCACCACCACGCAACCATCATCTATAGCAAACCAGCAGGAAATGAGGAAGAAATTGATCATCCGTAATACAACACAGTAGGGAATAACTTATGGCTTGATGACCTAAAACTACAAGGGGCTAACATGAGTGGTTTCGTTCAAAAAGAGACAACCGAAAACATAGTTGTAAAAGTTGCGAGCTCTAACTAATTCCTGGTCTCCCACGATAGAGTTCATATCGTATTTGCATGCCCTTCCGCAGTCCGGACAATAGGTCACCTACAAAACAGTTCAAATTACATTATGTTCGCATAAGTGATATTTTTGTTAGCAGGAAAGTGTGGATTTCGGAAACTTTTGTACACTTGATACTAAAATCCAAGAATGTGTGTTTGCTTCCAATACAAACCTCCAGTAACTTTGGCTGGAAACAACTATCAAGCATGACATCCACCCCGTACATGGCCCTCGATGTTGGACTATGCATCTCTGGATGTACTTGCGCAGCTGCCTCAAAAACTGATCGTATCATCTTCGTCACCCGCGAATGAATATCCAACCAGTTAACTACATCAAACACAATAAAACACGTAAAAATTTAGTCGAGCATGCTTGGCGTGCTAAAAAGTTGAAAACCCTTTCTCTTGAGGGTGAAATCAAGAAAATGAAAACAAACTGGACGCTTCACACCTTTGTGCTCCTGTTCAAATTCGATCACAAATTCCGATGTGTTCTTGTGATTCAATGTCCCGCGGTAGTTCTGGAAGCCATATGAATGTGATTACGGAGTGTAGAAACATATATGTCTATCGAATAATTAAAAGAACCAAAGTAGGATCCTGATGCTATTGCATGGTGTTCGGAACATACCATCACAGTAAAGTGAGTCTCATATTCAAATAAACTGTGCTTGTCTAAAGAATATTGGTTGTTTGCCAATCTAACCTGAAATGGAGATTAAAATATTAGTTGAAAAAGAAATCTGGAAGACAAAGACCTGAAGAGATGTTCTTCACATCAACACCAGAGAAGGTATAAATATCACATTCATATAATTGGCAATGAGATAGAATCTACTCAACACAGACAGTGTGCATACCCAGAAAGTGTCCGCAAGAAAGATTTCCAGAGGGTTCATACTCCGAACTAAAACTAGGTAGCGGATATCAAACTTTCTCCCTTGGAACAAAGCAGGGTGCTCAATATACTTCTGACATATCTTTGGTCCAGTTTCCATGAGCCGGATAATAGCAGATATATTACTAGTGACAGTTGTATCTATAGTTCGTGCCATATTCCAAGGTTTTAAGATCCATAGATTGTTAAGTCCATCTCGCTTACGTACACAATAATCACCAATAAGTTGAGATAGATGTGTTTCAAGATTATAGGTAGGCTGCAGCCAGTCAGGAAATCCATGTGCCTGTTCATAGGAGAAAAAGATGGGAGGTAATTAACCTCATATAGGGGGGCAAAGAAAAAATCATAGTGCTTGACTTTTGGTAAACAATTTAATAAGCAAGCGGATGAAGTTGAAGGGAGAGGACTAAGATATGTTAACTGCTTGTGACAGACAGGCGGATTACGAAATTAGAACTAATATGAGAATTTGATTGCAATGTGAATTTGTTTTTACCTTTTGAATAGTCTCTGCCAAATGATGTTTCATCACAATACAAGCCTCAAAAGGGAATTGATTTACGTACTGATTTTCTGTTATTCCAGTAGCCTTCTTCATATCCTCATCTACCTGTGTACCCGTCCATATGATATCGGCATCCTTCAGATCAGTGGCTGTAAGCACCAACCAGAACACACACAGAGGGAGAAGGAGAGATCAGATCATGGCAACATAAATAAAATATTCAAAAAGGAAACTTAATCTCAAAGTTATGCAAATGGCAGTACATACTGATTACAAACTCAGGACGAGTCAAAAGTTCTTCTACTTGAGGTATATCAGTGTACACACGTAAAGCTGATGTTTCACTACGAAGCAGGCTTCTTGCCGGACAGGGCTCTGATGACTGTGAGGGTAAATTTTTTGATTTCAAGCTCATCCGGTGCTTTTCATACTCCTGCAAAGATTAGTGGGAATTCATATAATGATTTCAACAAACAATTTGAGAAAAATGGAGTATAGCAACAACCAAATCTTAATGTTTTAACAGGTAACCATACTCGAATGAAATAATTCTCTGGTGTATGAAACCAAGCTGTCAGTCTAGCAGAACGTTGTTTGTCTTCTCCAATACCAAAAAGATAATCACGTGTGCACTCATAACCTTTTTGAACATTTTGGATTGGCCATAATATAGTGAAGCTGAAATCAATACAAGCAACATTAATGTTAGTTACTGTGGTAGTTTCTCAAAACAAATTACATCAAAGGCAAAAATGTATCAGTACAAACTATCCGTATAACATTTCCATGGGCCTTTGTGAAGGACAAAAAGGATTACAGTCAACTAATTCATACTTCAAAGAACCCAGGTTTCTGCATCTACCTTTCAAATTTCCAATTTCGCCACTTAATCAACAAGAAAAAAATTTCCACAGTACATTATAAAGTGCATTCCGAGTTCATGTACAGAAGACAAGGAGAATTGGTAACAAAAGCAGAAAAGCAAATGAAAGGATAAAATTACAACCTCACAGCGGATGCTAGTGTCCCCTCTTGCATGAACAGAAAAGGAGCCACTCTGAAATTTGGCTCATCACTATGCCGCAAAGCTGAACCAAGCTCATCCATCACATACCTGCAAAGAACTCCAAAGCAAAGCATCATCAGTTAAATGTGACAATTGGTTATTATATGCAATTTATTTATTTTGTACGAAGATAGCGATCCCAATTACCGAGAAGATACAACAAACTACTGACGAACAGAACCAAAGTGCAGCAATATGCAGTGGTCCACTATAACTATGCTTTTCTACTTTAATAATCTACCGCTTTGTTCATTGATATATTCAAATGTATGAATCACAGTTTTCGTTGGGATTGAGAAGCATACCATACAGAGGTCTCATCTATCTTCTCCTCATCTGCAAGTCGATATGTCATTAAGTACAGCCACATTGCACTTATAACACGATCAGTAAGAGGCTCATCCGCAGACCACTCAGGAAGACGAGGTTGAAGTGCTGAGTCAACTACATCCTTTTCAGTTTCCAGTACTTTTGATGCATTAACACCATTCAGCACCGAAACATTAGGAAGAGATTCAAGAATTTGTACAGCGCTTTCTCCAAGAGGACCAGGAATATCCACCTATAAAATAAGTTTACATTCTAATTATCCTAAATTTTATAGTCAAAGAAGGAACCCCTGTGCTAGAAAAAATGATCCCTAAAAGTATTACCTCCAGAGACTGTAAGGAAGGAAAATTCCTGAGTAAGTGTAACAAGTCACCCGCTGAGGTCTCATCTAGTGGATTTCCATGAAGATTCAAGTATGAAAGACATGGAAGTTGAGCAGGTGAAAATGCCTGAAAAAAAAAGTACCCACATCGGTGAATGCAGCTAGATTGACTGATCCTCTAAGTATGTTTTTTGAATCTAAAAATTCTGCATTGTCCATTACTATTTACATGGCAAAAATAAAGTATCGATTTATTCACCAAAAACAGTAATGGGTAATGAAAAAAATGGGAGATATAGAAAATACCTGAAACTTATTGAATATGTTGTGAATACTTCTATTCGAAAGATCAAGATCAGTGACGTGATGCACCGCGTTGTCAGGCTGATCAATGCTGCCTGGATTTTCCTTGTCGTATACTCCTCCACAAAACCCCACTGCCCACTCACCAAAATTGGAGGTAAATCTTGAGTTATATATTTCAAGACTTGGCATTTCCCGCAGAAATTTATCCGCCAATTCATCGCCACTAAATTAAAAACAAAAACATCTCTCAGCAACGAATTGTTTAGTTAAATCAACAAAGTAACAACATTCTACATATTGAAAAATGTACATACCGATTTTGTACAACTGGATTATTGTCCAGCCACAAAGCTTTCAGATTTTTGAATTTCGTAACTTCCTGAACAACTACTTCCACACTCTCAAGCTTATTTCCACACAAAGACAATGCAAGCAAATCCTAAACATAAAAAATAAAACTTTAATATATAAAAAATATATTTTCCAAATAACACTAATTGGGTTTTGTAGGGTTTTAGAAATGAAATACTGGGAACTTGGCAGCTAAGTCCAAAGACGACAGCGTTTCATCGTCCATGTCAAGGTCTTCAAGCTCCAGCCACCTCACATTCCCTCTGGCTTCAGTGATTTCACTTTCCATCACCTCCAAAACGCTGCGTTTTCCATTGCTCTCCCGATTCTCCTCCGAATCGGAATTCAAATCGGTATCCACGCACATTATCGCCGCCATCCTCTCAGCCAATCCCGGAACTTCCATCAACTGCGAAACCAAACAAACCCCGAGAAAATTAACTCTTCCTTATTTGTCAAAATTTTCTTGGCAGCCAAACAGAGTGTAAAAAGTAAGTGCAGTTACAGTTACAGAACCTGTTTGTAAGCGTCGGAAAGGCGGAAAGTCCAGGCGTGGTCGACGAGAAAGACGTCGGAGTGTGCGGGCATGGAGTCGGAGGTCAAAACGAGGCGCCGCTGGTGGCCGTCTTCCGTCGGCTCGATTTGGAAGTGGGACCCGCCGTCGAAGCTCTCCGATAGAAGCTTCTGGAAGAGCTGGCGGTGGAGGGACTGCGGTAGTCCCGAGGCAGCCAGGAGCAGGCCGTGAACTTTGACGAAGTCCTCGTAGGTTTCGATTTTCGACATTGCGACTGTGGGATTGGATTGAGAGGGAAGAGGTTTCAGTGTCACTGCTGTGAAGTCTGTGACTGTTTCTCGCTGTTTATGGCGGCTGAGAGCGAGAAAGAAGAGGAACATTCTAGTTTCAGAAGATTTTAGATTGGCCTGGGCTTTCTGACTGGGCCACTGTTGGAGTTTTTGATTGGGCCATCTATTGGGCTATGTTGGTTGAGTCCAATATTGG